TTTTTTGCCCTTATAAATAATGTCCTTAAGATATAGTCTTTGTAGTGGGATCCTGTAGTTACACTTATTGTCTTAATTGCTTTTTCCCCCTTGCCTTATTGCTATAGTTAGCATTTTTTCTGTGTAGTACATTAAAGAGGACAACATTACCTTTATGGGAAAGCTCATTACCTACGTTCATATAATGTTAGCTTTTAGTTTCAAAATTTTAAAATCATATTAAGGTGGAAATATGTTTTGCATGATTGCACATGTATAACCTGTATCAAATTCCTTGCCTACTCAGTTAGGGGGTGAATGTTAAAAATTGTTCTTACATGTAATTGGAAAAATAAAATAAGTGTTAAAAAAATGTCATATTAAGGAAATTTTCATTCTTGTATTTCTGGTCGAACATTGAAACATTGTGCCTTTATTTTAAAGTTAAACAATGAATCTCTCAGAGTTTGACAATTAGACATCTTGTAGGATCTTATCAGGTCTAGTTCCCTCATTTTACAGATGTGGAACTGAGGTCTAGAAAAGATAAACTACTTGTCCAGGGTCATCAATGTTTATTGGCTGATGCTGACATAGATGACTAAAGATTTGTCCTTATACTGCAAATTCAGCACATTTTCTACTATAGACTGTACACATCACTGATGGTTGTTTTTTGTTTTATTCTTATTTTTACTAGGGGTAGGGAAGAGAAGAGTGAGCTTTTATACTTTTATTTTCAATTTTTAAAACTATAAACAACTTGTTAATTCTCTTTTTTTCCCTTGTAAATAAAAGCATTCCTATATATAAATTTGCTTTTGAGTACGGCTTTGACTAAATCCCAGAACTTTTAATAGGTTTAGTTGATTACTATACACTGGGCACTAGCAATACAAATGCAAAGTTGAGGCAGATCCTGCCCCTCAAATATCTTGTATTCTGTTGGGGGGACATAATATATTCAGAGATAAGTACATGTAGAGTGTATCTAGATAAATACACAGTCATTTAGGGGAAATCAGGAAATGCCTCTTCAAGAGAAGCTGAGGTGCAGAAGGAAAGTATTCTATCTAGGCATGAATGATGAACAGTGCAGACATGGAGATGGAAGGTCTAATGTCATGTATATAAGTATCGCATTTATGATATCTTTAATATACGTTAATATACGTTTTTTTTTGTTGCTATCTATGTAGGCCCTTCATATTTTTGTTATTTTCTGTGCTAGTTCCTTTTTTTTTTTTATCGTAACAGGCAGAGCGATTAGATCTGTGATTTCAGTGACATGGAGAACTCTTGGGTGAGGTAATTCTTACTCTGCCAATGCAGGTCAGCCTTCTCTACAATTTACAATCTTAGATAGTTGCCCGGAGCACTGAAAGAAAAAGGAACTAGCTCAGGGCCACACATCCATTATGTGTCATATTGCAATATTTCTAAATAGTGTTTATAATTTCTAACTTTTTCTTTGGGTTCTAGAACATTCTCTTTTTGTTAATGTTTCATTCGTTTGCAAAAAAGGGCTATATTCCCTACTTTAACTATTCAGTATTCTCTATATGTGTTAAATTCAGTTTCTTTATTATGCTATAAATGTTAGTTTTCTTCTTCATTTTGTTTGTAGTGCTCCTGTTAGTGGAGCCCTTTGACCTCTCTAGCTTGTAATTATTTTTCTCTAATTCTTTTAGTAATCCAGCTAAGTTTTCCTTTTATAATTTCCCTATGCCATTAGGTATGTAGATGTTTAATATTTCTGTTCTATGATTGTCAATGATATGTTATAAGCATAATTTTCTTGTTTATTTCTTAAGATTTCTAATATGATTCTGACTTTTTTTCCAATAGCAACACTGCAGTTTTAGATTTTTAGAATAAATTCAAGCATAGTAAATTTTAGTCCATCCATTTGTCGTAAATTTTTGTGTGTGTCTCGCTGCGTTAGGTTTGTTTCCTGTAGTCATATGTTGTTAAATGATGTTTTTCATCCATTCAGTAACCTTTTTTTATTTCTTTAATGGAATTCATCGAAGGTTATAATTTTTAAATTTAATTTATTCTCTATCAGACTTTATTCATTTATATCAGAAAGGAATACCATCTTTCTTATTTTACTTGTAATAATCTCTGAAGTTTGACACACACTTGCACAATAACTCTGTAACTTTTAAACAAATTGAACTTTTGTATCCCCTCCTCTATGATAGAAATTTTGTTCTAGGATTTTTTCCTTCTCTCCATTTTATTGTTTTTGCCTTTTTTCTTTCTCCTTTATTAGTAAATATGATACTCATAATCATCATATTCTTCTCTTTCCCTTTTTTCTTCAAACCCATTTGCCAATCAGAACAACTATTCTTTTGATTATCCTTACATAATTTCTCTTTGTTTACACTGAGATTGCAACTAATTATTCAGAGTTGTAATTGTCTGCTTTTCCTACCTTGTTGTTATTCTGCTTTCTTTTTGGTTTTGCATATCAAAAAGTGTTCTTCCCTGCCACAAGATTCAGAAATTCTTGTGGACTCCTACATTGCCATCTTTTATCTCAAAAGAATTTTATCTTACCTGGAAGACTGGTTTTTGGGATGAACCCATATATTTTAGTTTTCAGAATCACTTCTCTTTGTAACAGTTAAATTGATTTTTGGAAGGTAATCAGTGTTTTCCTTTATGACTACTTGTAGAGTTATTGTTTTGATTGTAATTTTTAAGCTTAACATTTATGCCAGAATCTCTTCTCTGAGGATCAAGAACCTCTCAGAAGCCATCTACTTTAATCCATACTTGAACCCTCTATAGTATACCCAATAAGTGGTCATTTAGCCTTTGTCTGAGGATCTTTAATGAAGAGGAACTCCTATATCCCAAGGCTTCCTATTTCAGTTTGAGATAGTTTTAAAAAATTATTGATAATTTTCATTTTTAAATACCTGCCTAGTTTATCCTTTCCCTTCCCCTTTCCATTGTAACATTCCTAGTAATAAAGAATGCAGACGGGGAAAATGGCAGTTCGTCAAAACTAACCAATATATTGAAAAAGTTTAACAAATTTTTGCAGTGTTGCACATCCATAGTCCGTTTGGGGAGAGGTTTTAATTGGTACGATGTTTTTCTTTACATGAAGGTTAATTTCACCTCCATGAAACTTTTTATTCATTGCTCCTAGTTTTTCTCTCTGTTTGATCCTATTTCCATGTAACATCCCTTCAAATACTTGACGATGTCTCTCGTGGGACCCGGTTCTCTTCTTCTCCAGGTTAAACATTTCTTCCTTCAGGTGGTAAGAAGAGTTATGAATATATTTATAATTGATTAATAGAAAAAGTGATGAGTTGGAGTCAGGAGAACAGGATTTGAATTATCAGCTCTAATCCTAACTGGGTATTCCAGGATCTTTAATAATGGGAAGTAAATGGCACTGTATTCTTACTATCTGTTGTAGAAGTATTGTGAGGAAAGTACTTTGTAAACCTTAAAATGCCATAGAAATTTCAAGTATTAATATTTTTAGATTATTGGCTTATACTCGAATAGCCATTGCAGTCTCCTAAGAATAGGCTAGGTCTCTTTATATCAGTGTGTTATTGCTATTCCTGAGAGTTGTGATTTCTTGAGTTCTTCAGGTTTGGTTTGGTTTGGTTTTTTACCATTTACTAGCATCAACCAGTTCCCATATAGTAAAAATATATAATTGATATGGAAAGGGGGGCAGGGAGAGTAGAAAAGCTTTGAAAACAATATGTAGTATTTATTACATAGTTTTTCAAAAAAAGTAAACAGTGTGAAATGGAAATTCATGGTTTCATATTGAATCCTCTTTTTGTATTGTGTACATGGAAGTTTTTATTTTGCCTTTTTGTATTTAGGTTGAAATGAATTAATTTTTTTTAAAAGATAGTATAAGTCAAAATAATTAGCAATTATTTTGCATTTATATGGGAGTTTAATTTCAAATATTATATAAGACATCATATAATATCTTCATAAATATATAATATCCTCCATGAAGTAGTATAGATTCTTATACTTATTTTTTTCAAAAGTGTAAGTTGTTTTATTCATAAAATTTTGGGAGACTTTCTCTTTTTTAAAGTGGGTCTAAGAATTTTTAAAATAGGCGAACTATAATCTAATATTATGGTTCCTGGTTCCTCTTAGTATTTGAACTCTCTGGTTGCCTTTTATCTTTCATAATTATTCTTTCCCCACATCTTTATGAGAGGCAAATTTAGGGAATTGGGTTACATAGTATTGGATGAGGTTAGAAGTGTCGTATTTGAAACTTGATTGACATTTTAAAAGCAAATCTTTCTTTGTGTGTTAATTTCCTTATTTGAAATTGTTAAAATAAATGAATAAATGCCTCCTTTAGTAATTAATTCTTGCCTTAGCTGTTTATTAATAGCTAAATGAAAATTGAAAATTTCTGTCATTGGGATATTGCCACATACCTATGTGTTTGTGATTGGATAAATACATTTTAACCTTCCATCATGTTGTTATTCCTGAATTAATCTAACAGTGAACAGTGATTTTGGGGGTAATTGTTTTAACACGCTTTCTTCCCTTTATTAAGCAACTAAGGATAATTAAATAGTTTTTCTAAGACCTTCCTATCAGTCAGCAGCAGAGCCAAGATCTGGAAATTCAATAAGATAATGCCTGTATTCAAATTTTCAGTGTTTTCTAGGTGCATATTTCTGGGTTTATGTCAGCGTAAGTGATGACTATGACATTAAAACATGTAGGAAATTTTCTTTTCAGGAATTTTATTGCTCTCTTATTTTAATTTTCAACATGAATAAAGAAGTGATAAGTGGAAGATGCATGATCAGTGTTGGTGTTAGGAAATAAAGATCAATAAGGGGAAGGAAAATAGGTATTTCTTCGGTTTTGAAATCACGAATGTGTTTCCTGGAATCTCACTGCTTGCTCTCTACTACCTGTGGTTTTCTTCTCCCTTCTTTTTCTTTTCTCCCTCAGGGAAAAAAAAATCTTCTCTAAATTTTCTTTTCTAGGAGGATGCACAAGATTTGGATGCTTACACTCTGGCCAAAGCCTACTTTGATGTAAAAGAATATGATCGGGCAGCTCATTTCCTTCGTGGCTGCAAGAGCCAGAAAGCCTATTTCCTGTATATGTATTCCAGATACCTGGTGAGAACTGTTTCCAAATATGAATGTAGCATTTGTTAAATGTTTACTACATGCAAAGCTCTAAGTGTTGGGGATATGAACAGAAAAGCAAGACAATCCATACTCTCAAGGATCTCATGTTCTAATTGAGGAGATAATACATAGGGAAGATTTCAGTTGCAAGTCAGATGGAAGAGTACCATGGTCCTTAGGGTGCAGCAGTAAAACAGATATCAATGCCTCTTCTTTAATGACATTTCTGCCATAAAAAAATTATATCAGCTTCTGATGTTGATTCATTTGATGGTTCCAAGGACTTTGGTAGCAAGAACTTTTCTGGCCTTTAGTAGCTGTAGCTGTAACACTTGTAGGAGCAGATATAGCTTCAAGACCTTAATACTTTCTTATTATCATATTCTTATTATTGTAAGTAAGGCTTTTTTTTTTTTTGGTGAGGCAGTTGGGATTAAGTGATTTGCCCAGAGTCACACAGCTAGTGAGTGAGGCCGAATTTGAACTCAGGTCCTCCTCACTCCAGGGCCAGCGCTCTATCCACTTTGCCACCTAGCTGCCCCTAAATAAGGATTTCTTACACAAAGAAAAATGTTTTCTTTTGCTTATGTAGCAGGATCTTGGGTCAATTATGCTCACTTGTAGGGCAACTCATCCTGCTAATGATTCATTCCCATATTTAATTTTATCATCTTGAACTTTAAAGTAAGCCAGAGATATGCTTGAACATTTTCTTGCTAATAAAATTGCAACTTATTTCTCATTAATTTATCAGTTAGCTCAAGCCCCTATCCCAGGTCATTAAACATTATTTATTTATTTAATAAACTGGAGGAATCTCCTTTTCCAATAGTAGTTACGTATAGCTCTGTACACTACATCTCTTAATTTCTTAGGATTAATAAATTTTAAACTTAGGGAATATGTAGTTTATGAATGATAAAATCTCTAATAAAACTGACAATTATTTACAATATTTTAGTTATGAGAGAGCACAGCCAGAGTAATCTTCTCTTAGTTTGATGGCAAATGATTTGTTTTCCCTTCTAGAAACACAATTCTACCATTTGGTTGACTCAAGATACAAATTAATGTCTCTCAAGAATTCTCTTCATATTTATTCTCAAGATAAGAGTTAAATTCAGTCTCTCAGGAAAAAAAGTTACTTTAATTCTTTTTATTTTTCTTGAGCCATCATAGGCAGTCTCTGCAGAATGCACTGTAACCTCTGAATTTTCACAGACTCTCCACAAAATTATTTTTACAGTGTTTTTCATAAATTAATATTGAAGACAGTTCTAACAAGAAGGAAGTTTCTCTTTACTTTCTTTTTGTATTTCTTCTCCAGAACTCCTCATAGATCAAAATTGAAACCAAACTGTCCTGTACTTCATGTGGAGAAACACCTCATAGAATGACAGTTATAATACAACTGTAACTTCAAACTGCCCTTTCCTCAGCATCCCATTTGGCTCTTAAAGATATAGTAACAATATCTATAGTCTTTATGGGAGAGTCTAGGGAACCAGGTGTTACTCTTAAATTGTGATTTCAGTAGGTATAGCAAAGAGCTACTTATTGAAATAGCTTCCTAAATATCCCACTATGGTGATGAAAGAAAGTTAGAAATATTTCTATTGGGCTACAACTTCCAGGTCATATGTTTCAAGTTATGATGATAAGTTAAGATGCTTAATGCTCAAGAATTGCCATTGTATACTGTAGTGTAGGTAGCCTGGCCTATCTTGACCTAAAATCTCAGTTGGTGCGTTTTGTTTCATTCAAAGCTATTAACATTTGTTGTGGGCACTTTACCCATGTTTCTTTGACTCCTAGAGCTGTAATGGACACTTTCAGTGCTTTAATGTTTTTCCTGTGATACAATTTGCTCTGCAAACTGTCAGATGTGTATCAATAACGATGTGAGCCATGAAAGAGTACTTTTTGGCCAACTCACCAAAATTGTGAGCTTTGAGTTTTATTAAGAAACTAATTTCAAAAATTATCTTCAGTTATAGACTTTGCAGTTTTCTTTCTAGATGCTCTATTCAAAGTGACTTCAAGATACTAAAAGTGTTTTAGACAAGCAGCTATATAAAGAGAAACAACATTTACTGAAATATGGAAGATGTACTCTTTTGAGGGCAAATAACATCATCAAAACCTTAGAGAGTGATGAAGTGAGACAAATATATGCATTGACCAGTTGTAGATACTGTTTTGTGTGGACTAAGGCCCTTAGGAAGAGTTTAAAAATATAGGCTAGTTTTTTTATTGTTATAAACAGGTTTTAGAATGAACAATGAAAGACCTACTTTTTGATTTTCCTTTTTACAGTCTGGAGAAAAGAAGAAGGATGATGAAACAGTCGATAGTTTGGGTATGAAGTTATTCATCTTACCTTTTGAAAAAAAAAATAACCAACAAACTTGATGTGTGTGTTGTTAGGTATGATTGTTGGGCTGTGTAAGTGCTGAATGGCCAAAAGCTTCTTTTTTCAACCACATTAAGATAACTTTAAGGTTGACTGGCTCCTTGTAGCCATTGTTTCTTAGAAGTACTAAGCAAGTGTGAATTCTTCACTTCATGCCACAAGGAGTAGTGAAACCTAAGAGAAGAAAGCAAAACTAGTTTGATCTTCAGAGATTTTATTTTGTTCATAGGCCCCTTGGAGAAAGGACAGGTGAAGAATGAAGCCCTTAGAGAGCTAAGAGTTGAACTCAGCAAAAAGCACCAGGCACGAGAGCTTGATGGATTTGGCCTTTATCTGTAAGTCTGAATGATCATTGGAGGTTTTTGTTTTTTCCTGAGTTGAAGAGGCACAGTATAGCAAGGCACCAGAGCATAAGCAGAAAGAGCATTGGGCCAGAAATCTGAAGATTTGGGGTTTAGTCCATGATCTGTCTCTTATTGGCTGTGTGCAAGTTATTTAATTTCTTTTTTTTTGCTCTTAGGCAATTGGGGTTAAGTGACTTGCCCAGGGTCACACAGCTAGTAAGTGTCAAGTGTTTGGTCTGAGGACGGAATTGAACTCAGGTCCTCCTGACTTCAGGGTCAGTGCTCTATCCACTGTGCCACCTAGCTGCCCCATTAATTTCTAGGAGCCTTATTTTCTATATCTGTCTAATGAAACCAATTATACTTGCCTGGTGACCATGTGGCTTTTTTGTGAGTAAAGCTCTTTGTAAAACATAAGGAGCTATATGATAATCACTAGTGTTCATGTAGCACTCTAAGATTTACAAAGTACTTTACAAATATTATCTCATTTTTTATCCTCACAACAACTTTAGGAAGTAGATGCTATTATTATCCCCATTTACAGATGAGGAAACTGAGGAAGGGGAGGTTAAGTGCCTTGCCCAGAGTCACAGCCAGTACATGTCTTAGGCCGGATTTGAAGTAGCATCTTCCTGACTCTAGGTCTTTCCCTTTCTCATGTGAATGATAGTTGTCATGTGAAGTCTTGATTTCTGCTTCATGCTCCCTGATGATTTTCTTGCCTCATAGGTATGGGGTGGTACTTCGGAAGCTAGACTTGGTAAAAGAGGCCATTGACGTTTTTGTGGAAGCCACCCACATTTTACCTTTACACTGGGGAGCCTGGCTAGAACTGTGTAACCTGATCACAGACAAAGAGATGGTAAGTTGAGGAAGGAACTATGAAAAATCTTTCATGTGCAGTTTCCATCCTGTGGACTAGGTAACTGTGAAAATACTCAGCCAACCCTTTCAATTGTTATGGGAATTTTGCTGGCTAATATAGCTGGCTCTTACGTATGTTTGTTGATCTGTTTTGCTAATATGGGAATTTGATCTTAAGATTAAAGATCACTGGATAGTTAGTGATTGATCCTTTGTGGCTACTCATGTTTCATGGTTAATATTGGTTTGGTATCAAAATTTGATTGGAAAATTCTTTCTTCACATGGAGTTTTACTGCATCTAAATTTTGTTACTTTCCATCAGCACTGTTTAGCTTTCAGCGTAGTCTAGCAGTTCCATTGCTGCCCCTATAATTTAGGAATACTTTTTCTGACCTTAAGAATTGAATTAAATGAGTTTAGTTAAGTTCTGTGAAAATTTGATAATTTCTTTGATGTTGATGTCTTTGGCCCTTTTGAGCTGGATTGTCTTTAGAGTTTGTTTCTATTTTTTCAGGTATTACTGTCTATTAAAGGAGACTAACAACAAAAGTCTCCTTTTGGCATATTTAAAGAGCCAAGAGTTGTCTTGTCTTCTCTTTTCCTCTGGTCTCTCCTTCCCCTCTCCCCCAACGAAGATGCTGCCTGATGACTTCCGAGCCTGCATTTTTTAGTCTGTCCTCTCACTCAAGATTCAGTCACCAGACTCTTGTCTGTTGGGCATTTCCATGTAGTTATTTTGTGGTTACCTCAAACTCAACATTTCCAAAACTAGACACTTCCTCTTTTCTTGCAAATAAGCTTCACCTTCCAACTTCCTTTCTCTGGCAGTGGTACCATCATATTTTGACTTCTCTTTCTCCTTTTTTAAGAAAATTCTGTCACATCGAAATGCTTCTGCCTAGCTCGTGGAGCTCCTTATAATCTGGGAAGCTCTCTCTGTTTCTCCCTACAGACACTATATATACACACATATATACATACATATATATATACACATACATATATACCATATACATATGTATGTGTGTAGAGAGAGAAACTTATTTCTTCCTCTTCTGTACATGAACCATGCAGTCCATTCAGCTTCATTTCCTGTCCTCTTTACACTCTAGACTCATTTCCTCCCATTCTGGTTTTTTCCTTGTGATAACCTTTTCTTCTCTCTTCTCTTATCTTCATGCTAGCCATTCTTCAAAACTCTTCTCAAGTTCTACCTCCTTCTTGACGCCTTCCCTAACTTGCCCTTCTCTGAATTCCTTACTATAAATTTCTAGTCTAAATGTTACAACATAGCACTTAGTTATGCTGTCTTGTGTCGATCGTTATTGGTCTCTGTTTTGATTTTGTTTCTTAAATTAGAGTTTAAAAATGTTGAAGTCAGAGATCTTGTCTTTTATTTTGCTTAATACAATGCTGAGCCCACAGTAGATACCTAGTAAACTGCTCTTTGGTTGGTTGGTGTTTGGGAAGGGAGTTGGGGCATAAATTAACCAATTTGTAAATATGTTCTTTCTTTGATCTCAATTGCTACCAGCTGAAGTTCCTGTCCTTGCCAGACACCTGGATGAAAGAATTTTTTTTGGCTCATATATATACTGAGTTGCAGCTGATAGAGGAGGCCCTACAGAAGTATCAGTCTCTCATTGATGTGGGCTTTTCTAAGAGCACATACATCATTTCCCAAATTGCAGTTGCCTATCACAATATCAGAGGTAAGTGAGGCAGGGTATTGAAATGCCATCAAGCCACCAGATAAGTACCTTTGATACTTACTGAACTCTCTTTATTGTGCAGATATTGACAAAGCCCTCTCTATTTTCAATGAATTAAGGAAGCAAGACCCCTACCGGATTGAAAACATGGACACATTCTCCAATTTGCTCTATGTCAGGGTGAGCTGTTTTTCCTTTTTGCCTTGACTTTAAGTAACACTGATTCAGTAATCTATTGGCTATAGGTATCATCCAGCTGAATTAATAATTTTTCCTCCAGTTAACTTTTTTTTTCCATGTGAAGTTCTGGGGATTCCTTTTTTTATGATCTAATTTATTTTTTCTTTTCTTTCAGAGCATGAAACCTGAACTGAGCTATCTGGCTCACAATCTATGTGAAATTGACAAATATCGGGGTAGAGACCTGCTGTGTTATAGGTAAGGGTCATTTTTCTAATTGGAGTGCTGGGAGTAGGTAGGGGAAGAGGTTAAAGAAGTCAGTCCTTGGGGTAGACGTGTTAAAGCAGAAAATCAGTGCACAGGATGAGTCAGGTTGATCTCTTTTTTTCTGCCTGGCAGCATTATTAACATTCATATGAATGGGTGTTCCTGTTAAAGTGGTAATCATCCAAAGCCTAGATTTCATGATGGTAAGAGAACCTCCTTTTCCCAGAGACCAGTTTTAAAAGTATTAGCTTCATCTCTTAACATCAGGACAGTATAAACAAACTGAAGAGAGCTCACAAAATGGAGTAGTCCTAGTGATGAGGGTAGGACGTACTAAGTAAATGGGGATGGGGGGAACTTTGACTAGATTCCCAAGAGGAATGGTCAAATTGCAGATTTCAGAATAAGAGAATGGACCTCTGAGATATCTTTCTTCCTTTTTCTGACCCTTTGGAAAAGTTAGTTGTGAAGCTTACAGCTAAATTGTTTTTTCTTAAGAGAGAAATATTTAAAACATTCAAGAGGGTGCATGGTGAAGTTGAGAGAGCTGGCTTCAGAGTCAGAAAGACCTGGTTTTCAAGTCCCATCTCTAACACTTACCAGCTTTGTAACCCACCGAAAATCACTTACTCACCTCTCTTAGTGCTCCAGGCAATCCTTCAGGGCAGCAGCTGCTGATCTGTACTGCTTGAGGATGTTTTCTCACTAGGAGTTCCCTATACCAATTGAATCATGGGTACTGACCAAAAAATGAATATGGTCTTCAACTTAACCATTTAAACAGTTTGGCACAGGCAGAACAAAACTTTTTCAATGAGTATAACTTAAGAAAAATATTTTATTTTTCTAATATAACTAAATTAGGGAAAGCATTTGATAGGGAGAGAGGGGAAAAAAGGGACTGAGATTCTGAAGAGAAAAGAAACAAAGAGAGACTTGGAGACAGAGAAACTGACATCCATTTGCCTGAGCCCACTTTCCACAGCATTCCTTTCCTTGCTGGCATCTGTTTCCAAGGCACTGGTTTAAATTGACTTCTTTGTAGCAATCTTAGCTTTTTTTTCCCCCCCATCCTCTATCACTAACCAACATCACTGGTCTGTCTAGATTCCCCGATGTACCTGCTCTTCAGTAGTGGCTCCTGCTTCCCACTCCTGTACTGCCACCATATGGCTATCCAGCCTGGCCTACCCACATTAGACATTCCCACTATCCATTTTCTCCCATGACTGGACATCTGGGGTTCTGTCACTAGTCTTCTGCTTTTCCCATCTCGTCACCAATGGCCGTCTGTCTCAAGATATATTTTTTCATAGGCTACCAGACCTTATGTCTTGCTATAGGAACTATGCTAGATTTGCATGAAATTGTTTTTGTTAATTTTAACTGCATAGCATAGGGATAGCAGCTTTGCAGATACTTAATTTTAGGAAACTTGCCTTGAGCCAGATAAAATAGACAAAATGCTAATTTTGTCTCCAACTAGATTCTTTCTGTCCTAGAGAATTTCTATTTGTGACTGTCTAGTTTTTCTTATTTTCTTGTTCTTCTCAGGTAATTATTATAGCTTACGTTCCCAGCATGAGAAAGCAGCCCTTTATTTCCAGAGAGCCCTAAAATTAAATCCCCGATATCTTGGGGCCTGGACCCTCATGGGACATGAGTACATGGAAATGAAAAATACATCTGCAGCTATCCAAGCTTACAGGTGTGTGTGTCCTGGGGTGAGGCCCAGGTTGCATTAGGCAAACAAGTATTTTGTGGGTATCGGCATTGTTCCAACCTATCCTCACCTGTGTAACGATACATTTTCATTCCTCAGACATGCTATTGAGGTAAACAAGAGAGACTACAGAGCCTGGTATGGCCTTGGACAAACCTATGAAATTCTTAAGATGCCATTTTACTGCCTTTATTACTACCGAAGGGCCCACCAGCTGAGGTAAGTCTGACACTTTGGTGTGGGACAACTTGATGCTAATTAAGACTAATCAGTGTCCACTGATTAGTTGCTCAAGGAATCAGAACGAATAGTTTGACTTATATAAAATCTTTGACACTGCTTTGGATTCATTTAAAATTTTTCCTTTGGGGAATTCCATTAATAAATTTAGTAATTTATTAGGACATTGAAAAGCAGTAAGATAGTCTATACGTTAATTTGGGGTGGTGGCAGTGGTTGGACAGAAGTTACAAATAGCTGCTGACAGCAGTCTCCCTTATCTTGTAGGCCCAACGATTCCCGTATGCTGGTGGCCCTAGGAGAATGTTATGAGAAACTCAATCAGCTCGTGGAAGCCAAGAAGGTGCCTGGGGTTGGGTACTGGGGCATTGCATGACATTTTTGCAGTTTCATGAAGGTTGGTCGGTCTGTTTCTGACGTCATTTGGTGTTGATCTGATGCATACGCCAGTCTCAAGCAGGGTATGTGCTGGGCTCTATACCTTGTCTGTTCACTTGCAATTCCCCATCAGGCAAGGCAGGGCCAGAAGCCTCAGTTTGTGGAAGGCTGTCTGTGGCCAGGTGCCTGCCACCTGAGCTTTGTTGGCATAAGCAAGCGTTCTTCTGCACTCTCAGCACCAGCCTGAGCAGGGTTTGCTGAAGCCTGAGCCTCAAGGTAATTGTCTGCTTGTTGGTAGGCGTGGGGTGGCTCCAGTAACCACTTTGTCCCTTTGGCAGTGTTACTGGAGAGCTTACGCTGTGGGAGATGTGGAGAAAATGGCTCTCGTGAAACTAGCAAAGTGAGTAAAAAAGACCAAACATTCTTAAGTGTTTGAGCCCCATACGCTCTGGGAGTGTCTGGGAATAATCCTAAAAGGGACTAAAGATGTAGGACTTGCAAAAAAGGCAAGAAATGTGATTTTCCCTTAGGTAAATTAGGGCACATCAGTATATTATGAAGAAGTTCTCAACCAGGTGAGGGGCTAAGAATGAACTAAAGGAAATTTACAAGCAGTACATTGGTATGGTGGAAGGAGGAAATTAATCATATACTCAGCCTGGCAAAGAGTTAGGAAAGCTCTTTTGTCCTACAGTGGGTCATTTTTGTCCTTGGCTATGGCCAGGACAACTTAGAAACCCACATAAGTTGTGACCAGTTGATAGGTGTTTTTTTTTTAATTTTTTAAAAGGTGTGATCCCTTCTAGCTCCTTCCTGGGTTCCTAAAAATATAATTTGTTTAATTTCCTCCAGAATTGACCCTCCCAGCTCTTCCCATATTTATCATTAGCAAAGTGATGATATTTTTAATGGTGGTGACTATTAAATATAGAGGTCATTACTAACGCCGTGGGTTGTTTATATTTAATTTTTTTACTTTCATGTAGTCCAGTTTATTTTAGACTCTGGGCCTGTGTTGATTGTGTGTTGCCTTGGTTCAGAGATCTGTTGATGCTTACGGTCCATTTCTTTCAGACTCCATGAGCAGTTGACTGAATCAGAACAAGCAGCTCAGTGCTACATCAAATACATCCAGGATATCTATTCATGTGGGGTATGTGTCAGAGGCAAGGGAATTAAGTCAGTGCATCTGTCACTGTCACTTCAGTCATTTCTGTTCTTTGCCTTTTTAGGAAATAGTGGAGCACTTAGAGGTGAGCACTGCTTTCCGATATCTGGCTCAGTACTACTTTAAATGCAAACTCTGGGATGAAGCCTCAGCCTGTGCACAGAAATGTTGTTCGTTCAATGATGTGAGTGCCAATATTCAGCCAAGATTTCTGATTTGAACATAGTGTATCTTTCAAGGGTGGTGGTTGTAGACTGAGGGATAACTTTAAAATATATAGTTTCAAAAAGAAGTATTGACCTAACCGTTTTGTAACTTGGGATACATTTTTTGTTTCAGACTCGAGAGGAAGGCAAAGCCCTCCTGAGACAGATCTTACAGCTGAGGAATCAAGGGGAGACTTCCACCACCGAGATATCTGCTCCCTTTTTTCTACCTGCATCACTTTCTGCAAACAACACTCCTACACGCAGGGTGTCTCCACTCAACCTCTCTTCCGTCACACCATAGACTACCACTTTCTACTCTGGATTCAGTCCCTTATTAAGTCCTGACTCATAGACAGAAGCTGGATCTGTTCTTCAAGGACCTCATCTCTTTCAGTTTCTGCATTTGGAGACCACTGCTTAAGGATTATATAGGGTCAGTGCTCCAGGTGCAGGCTGATTGAATCCTGTCTGAAGAAGACAGTATCTATTTGCTACAGTTAGAGCAGCTGGACTCTTTAGGAAGCACTTTTCTCCCCCTCCTGACTCAGACTAGCTGCAGTTTTTAATCCTCTTTCCCAACCAAAATCTTTTAAAGAACAACCCCTTTATGGCACTTTACCAGGTGATGCTGTAAGAGCTTTGTTTCTTTGCTCCTTGGTGGGATTGTCCTTCTGAAGCTGAGGAAGGCAGGCAGCTCTCCCAAGAGCTCTGCTTTCAGCACATATGGGATGCTGTTGGAACAAAGCAGGTTGTCAAAGCTAAATACTCAGAAGATTGCTAGTAGCTTGCTGAAACCTCTTTCAGGCTAGGACAGCAGAGAGCAAACTGTTGATGCTGTGTAGAGGGAGATGAAGCCTGGACAGGCCCCTGGTTTCAGCTCTGAGGTGTGGGGAAGAGATGATCAAGCTGTCTTACTCAATGAACAGTATTCATTATGTTCCTGTCTAGAACAGTGTATCTCACAGGTGGCTCTCTAACTCATCATGGAGGAGAGGGAGAGTCTGGACATAAGACTCGTATCTAAAGAGCCAGTCTGTTTTAATAAAGATATTTTTTTAATCCAATTTCCTGCATTTATTTTTCCAAAATTAAATCAGGGTGATGGAACCATCCCTTTTAACAGGTATTTCAATACATTTTGTATCAAGCAAAGCTTTGAAAAATTATCCCCATCGAAGAAACCTTTCCATGGTGACTTAATGGCTTTGTAAAAATATGTGTTTGCTTATGCATGAGAGCAACTTACAACTACTTTATGCAGTCCCTCAGATGGGCTTAAAAAAAGTCTAACAAAGGCTAAGTATATTTATTATAATGTACATACATACATGTTGAGTGCATAGGAACCATTAAAAAAAATGAAAGCAGATTTTAACATAATTATATTACATATAAGGAAAAAAGCAGCCACTAGAATATACCATCTTGGATAAAGCCCTTGGTGTACATTAAAGCTTATAAAGAACATCACAACTTCATGCATAGAGCAACTTGCCCCACTTTAGCTCAAGTGCTAGTTTTATAATTGTTCTCTTAGTATTTTTTCCCAAAAGGCCCAGACTTGAGTAAAGGGGTGCACCGGGAACGCAGAATGCGGCTGTAGGGACTGTTTTCTGCTGGGCCTTGGCAAGTAGGCGTTCGAGGAAGCAAGTTTCGAAGGAAGGGTTTCTTTCCTGGGGGTTGCTGGGGGGGCTGCTGGTTCTCCTGGTTGGGACCTTGCCGCTTTTTTAAGGAAACAGAGGAGGAAGAACCCTGCAGCTTCATGACTGTATGATACTGCTCAGCAATGCAGGCAGCTTTCTTCCGAAGGTCCAGTTTTACTAGCATCATGTTATTTTGTAGTTCAGCTAGGGTCTGGTCCTACGTAGAAAAGAGAGAGATGTTTAAGCTAACAGAAGAGCTAAATCTCAGAATCCATCTCTTTAAGTCCCATTCCACCCCACCTCCCGGCAGTGTTCTAAAGACCAAAACAAAGAAAGGGAAGAGGGTCATGTATGCAGTACTAAGTACTGTGGGTTGAGAAACTAATTTTGGAAATCAAACCACTGGGATGAGATCACTAGATTATTTATGGTTGTTCCCCTAAATTAAAGGAGGTATTCCTTTCCCTATAAGGAGGTCTGTAAATAAGTAACTCAAATCTTTGCCAAATTCACCTGATCCTGTTGGTTTGTCTTTGTGGGCAAATGTTTCTCGAAGCCAAAGCTCAGTTGATTGCAGGGAGTTACCCTAGGAACCCAGTCATTAGGTAGCGGCTGACAGACCTCCTCACTTCCTACCACATAACATACATCCTCATGACTGCCTTGGTTTTACTCAACTCGAGGTTCTGTTTATCCCATAATAGAATTAATTGTTAACATCTACTTCAGAGCGTTATGAAGAAAGTGCTTTAAAGCACTATATAAAATGTCAGTTATTTAGCAGCCAGTCTTTTCATGAGAAAGAACAATAAATCTGACAAAACAGTATAGATGAGTGTTCAGGTATTAACAAAAAAGTTTCACCCTAGATTTGGGCTTTCTCTCCCTTACTATCCTCTGCTTCCTACAGTAGGGCAGTATGGGCAAGGCAAGGACAGGTAGGCCGGACTACCTGTTTGATCAGGATGTCATCACAGATGGTCAGGGCCTGGCGGAGTTTTCCTGCTCCAGTGCTATGACAACAGGCCCTCTCAGCTGACTGGAGGGACTCCCCAAGTTTCTGTAGTTCGGTCTTCAGCAGCCTGATGTTCTGAAAGAAGAATTGTCACTGTACTGTGGCCACAACTAGCTAAAAGATGAAATGCTGGGCTCCCCAACCCCAGACATACACAGTACAGTTTTCATAAAGATCTGGGGCAGTGTAGAATAATTACTAATTGAATGAGTTGTGGGAACAAAGAGACAAGCTAGTGAAGCTGAAAAGTAAGGATGTGTAATAAATACAAGGTGATTTCTAATGAGATGCACCCCCTCCTCCCTTTTGTTCATTCTTACTACCTTTTGCCCCTCCTCTAACTTCTTGTCCACATCTATGGTGAATGGTTTGGCTGAAGGAGGTGGATCTAACATTCTCTGGTACTTCCGCAGCTCTGAGAAAAGAAAGGAACCAGCCCAGTTAATGGACATTCCTGTCTGGGTCTGCTCTACGGAGCACTTTGGGAAGAGATGGAATCAGACAGACTAGGACTTGACACTTCCTGAGAATGAGACCTCCCCTTTCCCTCCAGCTTAGAGCCCCCCTACCTGACCTCCTCACCTTCAGTGGTAGAAGCCAGCTCTGCCTTGCACTGTTCCAGTCTGGCTTTAGTCTCCTGAAGCTGCTTGTTAAAAATAGAGGAAGCCACTCGCTGAGATCTGCGCAAGGACTGCTCGGGATCCAAATGCAGGCCTGTCTCTTGGGGCACAGACTGCTTCTTAGCCTCTTCCAGGGCTTCCTCCAACTCCTTAATCTTTTCATCCCGCTCCTGAAGGAAGAGCAGAATGCTGTGAACAATACTTGGCCTCCCTCAACTGTGTGATAACCTGCTTTTCCCAATGCCTGCTTGGTGAGAGCCCACTGAGACTAAAGCCACAAAGACTCCCATTCCATTTCCTAGAGGCCTCAGCCTCAGGGGAGAGCTTGGTGATAGACACCCTAGCATCTAACTGGGGAGAAGAGTCAGCGTGGTCCCTCTAATTTTCTCTGCTATTTACCTGGAGCTCTTCCTGGTAATAACTCTGCAGGGACTCCTTCAGGATCTTCAGTTTATCCTCATACATTTCCTCCAACAACTCTTTCTGAGTATCTAAGTGTTCACTGTAATGCAAAAGATAAGAGAAAAATGAGCAATGGTTTTCTTTGAGGCTAAGTCAGGTATGTGGAAGAAAACAGACTCGGAGACAGAATTTCATTCCATGCCCAAAACCCTGCTTCTCTAGGAGAGAGTCTACCTGCACCACTGCTCCCGTTGTTGCATCTGCTCTATCATCTCAGTACAAATTTCATCACGAAGCTGCATCTCCAATTTCAGCTTCTCTTGCCGCTCTTGTAGCAGAAGCTCTTTCATGGCTTCCACCACTTGCAGTAGCTCCTAGGAGAGTCAGGGAAGCCAGATAATTCCTGTGTCCTAAACTGCAGCTACCATCTTAGTATCCTGTTTCACTTAGGGAATGCAAATCCCAGCATCAATTACTCAGAAATAACAGTCCATTTGCTTCCTCACCTCTTTGTCATACATGGAGATGTCAACTTCATCACCACTGTTTTCATCAGGCCCTGGTTCCTGCTTAACCCCTGTTTCCAAAGTGGGAGAGGCTCGTAGACTGTGCTCTTTAATGAATGAATGTAGGGATGGAAGTCCTAGTTTCACAGGTGGAGCATGAACAAGCTAGAGAGAAAGAGAAATCTCTTAGTTCATACCCATTTGGCTTTATCTCAAAAGGGGATGAACCCAACCATTTTACCTGGTAAGTTCCAAGGACTCACCTGACTGGCAATGGCTGAGAACTTGGCCACGTGAAGGGTCTCATCATAGGTAGAGGCACAAGGATTCACATTGACAATCATGCAGGAGCGGCCACGACCTGTGAAGAAGCCCTGAAACACTCGGGTCAGCTTGCTGTCACGGAAGGGGATTAGGTTTTGCTTGAGTCTGGCAAGGGAGAAGAGACAAGTGAGTTTTGGGAAGGACCCTGACGATTATGAGATCTCAAAGTACTACTGTCAAGAGTGATCAGTGTCCAGTGACAGGCCTTTCCATCTGGCCACAAGCAAAATTCAGAGTCCCCGCTGTCCTTCCTGAGGTTGGATGGGTACTGACCGTTGCTGGTTCTGACGTATGGCAGTAATACAGCGGCCCAGGGTATGAAGGGAAGTGTTGATATTCCCTGCCTCCTTCATCCGCTCACTCATCTTCTGTTCCTTGCAGCGCTCTGAGCCAGCCAGATCACACAGGGACAACCTGGAGGGAAGAATTGAGTCTGAACCTTTATCCCCTCCTACTGTCCCGACCCTGGGAGAGAACGTTATTCTAATACTTCAATAATTCCTGGGGATGTCCAGCTTTCTAACTCCTAAGCCATTCTAGCACTCAGAGAGAACTGCCCGGGACCAAGGAGCCAGATTCCTACAACATAAAACTCACTCGCTGATCTTAGACACCACGTTGCCTTCTCCCTGCAGGTGCAAGATCCGGATGGAGAAAATGCTGTGGCTAAAGGACACAAGGAAGAAGCAGGAATAAGCACAGTGGGCATTTTCCCCTGACAGGGCCCAAAGTTCACTATTTTCCAGCAATGGCTGTGGATGCATCCCTTTCTCACCTGCGACTGGAGTTCTGGTTCAGGTGAGTACTGGCAAAGCTCTGATTTTTACGACCTAGTTTCAGGAGCTTCCAGGCCTCATCAGCATCCTGGATGTTAATCCAATTCAGATCTGAGGAAGACAGGGAGAAGGGAATAAGTTAAAAACATCTAATTCTTACTCCCCTTCTTTCTCTTCCCCTGACCTCCGACCGAATTACCTTTCACATAGGGATTGCCATTTTGGTCTTCACACAGCCGGAGTGTCTGCCTCTTTCGCTGCTGGCTAGGGGGCTCCAACAAGTCAAAGATCATCTCATTGTAGATCTCGAAGAAGGAGATCCAGATAGAGAACCGGACATCAGCTGGGACACAGAATGAGGCAGTATCTGGCTCAGCCCATTTACAACATGTGTCTGTGGAAGGTACAATAAACAGTCAGCCACAAGCCTAGCCCTGATTTTCATGCTCGTCGTCTCAGTAGCAAAGAGCCATCCTGGGCCTTCAATCCTAAGAGCGGTAATGGGTGCCTGACTGAACTTGAAGGGGTTAAGTTTAAAAACATGTCCTTCACACAGCCAATTTGGGAGTTTTGCCTTACTATGCACACTTTTTACAAGAGTTTGGTTTTTCTTTTTTGGCGAGGGGTACAGACGAGGTGAAATGCGAAGGAGAAAAAACAGATTGTGTTCACTGAAATTATATCACATTTTAAAAAGGGTTTTTTTTTTTCCAAAATTACCCTCCATCTGGCTGAGGCTGACACTGCTTTGGCTAGTCAAATGGCTAGTAGAAGAGAGTCCAGCAATGCCACTGTCAAAACTGGCACTGGTCCCCAGCCGTAGTGATTCAGTGTTGTGGCTTTTCTTCAGAGAGTTTATCAATTCCTCCTAGAGAAACCCCAAGAGAAAATAAACACAAAGTTTTTCTGGGAGTACTCCTGCCCTTCATTGACATGATTCTGGGAACTGGGCACTCACCTCCCGAGAGCTGCCATTCAGCAGGGCTGACTTCTTCATCTCTTCCTGCCTCATCTGCTTGCTATCTAGCCAGATCACTTCATTAGCAAATGAAGGCTTCAGATCAGAGGCTGGATAGAGCTGGTTCTGAATACTATTGAAGATCACAGCCAGAGAACGAGGTAGGATCCCCCCATCCTTGTTGCTACCTAGAAATATAAAAGAGACAGAGAGCTGAGTGCTAGCAGTTGAAATGCTAAGAGATCCTTCTAAAAACTCACCAGAATTTCACGATGCTGAGAGTTTCACTCACCCTGGACAGTATGGGTCTTTCCAGAGTTAGTAACTCCATATGTATAAATGAGCCAGTTGTAGCCTTTAAGCACGTCTTTAACCATTTGTTTCACTGTCAGGTTGAAGAAAGATGCTTGTCCTACTTCTGGTCCAAAGATCTAGAAACAATACAGTTCCCTGAAGTCTCTTGTTTTTAACATAGGCTTATTTCAGCACTCAGCTCCAGCAGCCCAATTCCTCCCCTGATAGCCAGTTCCTCCTATGACTCCCTATTACTCCCCAGACCACTGTGGACTCAACAACTTTGTGGATCTTCCTCTCAGCAAACATGTCAGAAAAAAACATTCTCCCACTGGTTATATAGCTCACTGGCAGCCTTGTTGAAGATGCCTGGCTTCTAGCTTGATACCTGGGAAAAGGTGAATCTATGAGTGGCTTGGCCCACACCTCTCTCATTGCTTCTCATGGCAAAAGAGTCCTTGGGTGCCTGCAGAACAAGGGTTTCTGGGTTCTCGATTCGAACACAGCCCTAGCAGATGGAACATACATAAACAGGTTAGAAAGAAGCAGCCTTGTTACCCTTTTATATCATATGCTTCCCTAGGCACTCACCTGTTCTTCTTGTCTCTCCACCTCTGAAGGCAGCAGGGGTCGGACTCTCAAGTATACTTTTACCTTCTCTGTACCATCCTCAGGTACAACCTGTGACAGAAACCCAGCCAAGAGCACAACTGATTAGATTGAACAACTACCTCTGAGCCTTAGATCATAGGTAAACAATAGATTACTCAGGAGCCACACCAGGGAAATGCTCTAGATCTCCCTCTACTGCTATGCTCATCCTAAGGGACTAAAGAAAAGCCATTTTGCTGCTTGGCTTTTTATTCCTCCTTCAGTATCCTTTAAAGACCCAATCTGCCCACAAATGTCCAGTAAAAGCCAGCATATCATTTGCACCAAGATGAGGGTGGGAAGGTATGCATATCTCTGTGTATGGGTGTGAGTGTGAATGGGTAGGAGGGGAACGAATGGGTGGGTGTCATTTCCCTGGACTTTACCTGCTCTTTGTCCTCTATCGGGGTAGGGGAGATAGCAGAAAATTCAGACAACAGGTCTTTTTGGATCCCAACTCCCAAATCAGCAGCAGTGGATTCGAACATGGGCGACACGACGATTTCCTCATCCGAGAGGAGGCCCACAGGCGGGGTCTGGATACCCCGAGACATGACAACGGTGGTTAGTTCCTCCTAGAAGAGGAAAAGCAGCTTGAGGTAGAAAGTATTATGGGGATAGGGCGGGGGGGGGTATGAGCACCTTCCACACCTGGAGGTGTTTACTCGTTCTTCCCTCAATTCTCCGCTTCCCCAGATCCAGGAGCGAGGTTACTCCTGGCAAAGCCTCGGCACCCGAACAGGGGTTGAAGAGCACCTGGTGCCACCGAGCCAGGTGTGAACTCCTGTTCCGGCAGCCGGGGGAGACAGACTCCCCTGATCTACCAGGACGGGGCGGGGGCCGGAGCCCCGGAGGCGGGGCTCGCAGTCTGGTCCCTCACCCCAGGCAGACGGTTAGGGAAGCCTATACCGAAGGGCTGCGAGGTCAGGATCACCCAGGTGAGCGGTACCTGCAAAAGACCAAGCCCCGGGGCGTGCAGACCTGTTGGCGCGAAGACTCTCCAAGCTCTGTCTCCAGTGCGGGGAACTCGCTCTGGATTCTCCTGGCGTCCTAGGTCTCTACTCTCCCTGTAGCCTCCGACCGCTACAGTCCTTCAGCCCCAGGTAGTCCTGCAGCTCCTGGCCCAGGTCCGCTCCACCCACGAGGGGCAGCTTTGTTTCTGAAGCAAGGTTTCAAACTACGCGCTTTGCTCTCTCAGCCAATCCGGCGGCGAAATCACATCCACCAATCATGGCGCTCAGATGGCGGGTCGGGTTACCAACCGTCGCGTCTTGGGATTTTGGGCTTCGGGCTCCGGCCCATCCCTAAGAACCCTCGATAGCCTATCCCGCCATGAAACGTGAAGGGAAACCCTCAGCTGAAGCCACCATCCCCCGCCCTACCGTTTTCTTATCCAGAAGCTTGGCCGAGAACTAGAGACTCCTCCCCCAACGCTACACCACCCCAAATAAACTCCATTTCCCAGAAACCATCTGGTTGCGCGTCGACTCAAGGACCCCACTCCATTTCCCAGAGTCCCTCGGGGCGCAGCCCGATAAGGACCTGCCCCTTCCCGGGGCTGGGAAGAGTCGGGGCCAAGATGGCGACAGGGACGGGAAGTGAGTGTCTGCGCTGCTCGGCGATGGGCCGCTGCGGCGGTTGTGGCAGAACCCTCCCGTCCGCTCCCCCTTCCCGCTTCCAGCTCTAGGGTTGGGGATTCGCGGAGCCCTCGGCCGGGGGGCCCTGTGCGATCCGCGCTAGGCGAAACTCGAGCTTTGCGAGGGGGCCGCCGAGGATGGGTTGTTATGGAAGGGTTGTTATGGAGGGGCCCCGGTCGTGTGCGGAGACCGGGGGGGGGGGGGGCGGGGCGGGGCAGCGCCGCTAGGCCTCGAGGCGCGGGACAGACCCGAGGATGGAGGCCGCAGCCCGCCCTCGCCCCTGCCTCAGTCGCTGAGTGCTGCGTTCCCCGCAGCTTGGGAGGGGCGCGGCCTCCTGCGGCCTGGCCTGGCCTGGCCTGGCAGCGGCTCGGATTTCCTTGCCTAACGGATAGCTTGGGATCCGGGCCTGCCTGCTGCCTGTCCGCAGGGGGCCGAGCCTTCTCTCCCGAGTGGCGCAGAGCTTTTAGAGCTGGGAGGGGCCTTAGGCGTTAGGCGGCCAACCCCTCCTCTTTTTTTTCCCCCTTTAAAAAACAACCACAACCTTCTCTGCAGTGGAAAGATTATGGGTTAGGGGTCAGGAGGCCTGGGTTCTAGCCCAAAATTGATTACTCGGTTATGTTTTGGACCTACAGCTTGCGATCTTTAGGCCGTAGTTGCCTGAATTGTAAACTGGTTAGGAAAAAGAGGTGTTAGATTAGATGCATTGTGGTACACGTGAAAGAGAAGGGCTGGGTTCACACACCCAGCTCTGCAGCTTACTAAGTGTGAAAGAGATAATGGGCAAGTGATTTAGCTTCCCTTTTCTTTATCTGTAAAATAAGGAAATTGGGCTACATACAGGGGAATATTAATTTGGAGCGCATGGGTAGGTCCTTAAATAGATTTCCTACGTTTTTGAATTTGGATGGAAAAAAAATTAGATATTTATTTCAAAATAATTGGTTTGCTTTTTATTTTATGCATTTAAAAACATTTCGAGAAGGGGAGCCAAAGGTTTCACCAGACTGCCAACAGGGTCCATGACATAAAAGGTTAAGAACCCCTGAACTAGATGATTTCTAAGGTCTTACTCAACTGCCTCTTTACCTTGTTATCACGGTGGGTTGTTGAGATTTGAAGGCATAGAGTAGGTACTGGTCCAAAATTGGTTGCTGCCCAGTCTTCAGTGGAAAGAGTTGTATTGAGAACAATCTGGTTTAGTTCATTTGGTTGGTATACTGTTAGACCTTTGCTTGGGAGTGGTGTCTTCTCATTGGACTCTCACTGAGTTTTCTCTTTCTACAGAACATAAACTGCTGAGTACTGGCCCCACAGAGCCTTGGTCTATTCGGGAGAAGCTATGTCTGGCCTCCTCTGTCATGAGGAGTGGAGATCAAAACTGGTAAGATACTTAGGATATCAAATGTAGGACAGCAGTAGCTTAGGACATTGAAATTGCTGAGTAGCTTTCCTGTACTTGGGGGGTTGGTTGATCTGTAGGAGCCAGGAATTCGAGTAAACCCTTTTATCTCAGACTATTGTGAAGTTCCAGAAGAGTAAAAGAGAAGAGTCTCAAGTCCTGAGATCTAAGTCTGGGGCAGTTAGGTGGTGCAGTGGATAGAGCACTGGCCCTGGATTCAGGAGGACTCGAGTTCAAATCTGGCCTCAGACACATAACACTATCTGTGTGACCCTGGGCAAGTCACTTAACCCTATTGCCCAGGCCAAAAAAAAAAATTTTTTTTAGCTAAATCTTTGATTTTCACAATAGGATGAGCACCTTCTTGACGAGTCTTATGATCTTTCTGTTAATTGTTATCACACACTTTTTATTACTTTTTCTTCCCTCAATCTAGCCTTAATTTTGGAGGGGTTATATCATTAGCTTAAATGAGAACCTAGTCATTCACTAAATAGAAGATACTGTTCTCTACAGAAAACTTTCTATACTTGTTTTCTGGTGTTCACCTAGTCCCTTAGATGGAATCGTGTAATGAAAAATGTGAGAACTTCTTTTTAACAGTGACCAAATGGTTGCTAGAATTTGTAGCACTGTAGTCCTGCTTCCCATGCATTGATGGAAGTATATCCAGTAGTGGTAGAGAATAATATCAGTCACTCTCTACCTTGTAAGTAGTAACAATTCAGGAGCCATCCCTTATCTTCATAATAGAATGGAAAAACTACAGGCCTTAAAGTCGGAAGATCTGGGCCTGATTTCCTGCCTGAATTAATATTGAACTTTGTGACCCTGGGCCTAGTTACAAACCACTGCTGTGGTATTTCTTAATCTAGTGGTGTCACACTTGTGAGCAGCATGAAATTGTTCCAGGCTGTCTTTAAATCCGTGTGTATGAAAAGCATTGTCTTTATAACCTTTAGTTCCAACAGCTCCTATGTAATTGTTGTAAATAGAAGTTGTTTCAAATATATCCAAATGCTTTGGGGATTAATAAAATGCAAATTTTTAAAAATGTTATTGATTTCTTAGTATCTTTTAGTCATTAGGTAATTCTTCAGTCATTGGATGTTAATGTTAAAATTGTCACAAAGAGGTGGATTTATTTTATATCAGAAAGGGGTCCTCATGTACAAAGCCTGGTAATGACTCTTAAATCTGCAGAATGGGATAATAGTACTTGTAACCCCCTATGTTACAAGAGTATTGGGAGGCAATTGCTTTGGAAACCTAAAAGCACTATATAAATGTAAGTTATTACATGTAGGAGATATGATCGTGGTATTGTTCTGCATCATTTTGAGATTATAATGGGGTGGAGAGAGCGATGTTATTGGTTTTGTTTTGTTTTTTTTTCCCTCTCAGATCAGAGGCTGAATCCTAGTTATGTCACTGTTGTATAATCCTGGGCAAATCCCACGCTCTGAGTTTTAGTTTTCTCATCTTTAAAATGAGCATGATAATACTTCTGTTATTTACCTCACTGGGTTATTGTGAGGAAATTTCTTTGTAAACCCTCAAGTGATACATTACCAAAGACCAGAATAAACAATAAACTGTCAATTTTTTAAACCCAACAAACTCAAATATTTAATTTTACTGTAGTATAAAATCCAGCCCAACTTTCCACAAAACATCTAGTGAAGTAGTTTGAACTGGCACTGTACTTGTTTATTTTTAAGGCATTTGAGCCATAGCAAAATGAAAATACTGACATATTCTCCAAATTGATATAGCATTAGGTACTTATTCTTGCTCTTTCTCACCTAGAAATTATACTTAGGAATATTCTTCTAAATTACTTTTCATTCTAAATACTTCCATATTCAAAGTCTGTTTCTTCACTGTTCCTAACTATAATCCTTTTGGTTTTAAAAGTGTGGCTCCTAACCTGTGGACCTGAAATTCCCAACATATCTTTTGTCCTCTCATGATGGAGTTTTATAGTGTGTTGTGGTCGGAGACTGATGCTTTGAAGGTCCTTATTTTTTTCTTTTTTTGTAGGGTGTCAGTTAGCAGAGCAATCAAGCCCTTTGCTGAACCTGGCCGACCTCCTGACTGGTTCTCTCAGAAAGTAAGCTCCAGGGATAGTGTCCTTCTATAGCAGTCTTTCCCACCCAGCCCTATTAATTTAACCAGAAGACCTTTGCCATGTTGAGAGAATTTAAAGCTATGCACTTTTACTGTAGGAGATAGTGAAAATTGCTTTTTATTTCCTTGTTATCCCTCCTTCAAATTTACCTATTTGTATTGAGGGTACCATTATCCTTCCATTTACCTAGTTTTTCAGTCTTGGATTCTTTTTTTTTTAATTAAACTTATTTTTTTCAACTAATCAAAATCTAACATCACTCTTTCCCACCACCAATCATTTCCCATTGAAAAAGAAGGAAAACCAAAGCCCTTTTAACAAATAACATCAAAGCAAAACAAATTCCCACATTGGCTTCTCCAAAAAAAAAATAGATCTCTTTTTCCACTCCTGAGTCCTCACCTCTTTGTCAGGAGGCAGGTAGCATATTCAGTCATAAGTATTCTAATTGTCATTTTGAAGTTGCTTTTTTTTTTTTTAAAACAGTGTTGTTGCTATTGTATTCCTTATTCTTGAATCATTCTTGTCTCTTCCTTTCCTTCTCCCAGGTTTTCATCTCTCAAATCCATCCTCTTCTCTTTTCACAGTATAACCATCCTAGCAGGTCTGGTCCTCACCACCACTTACTTGGACTAGAGCAATAACTGGTTAGCATTGTTTCCAGTCTTCTGGACAATACGTCCTCCACAAAGTTGTCACTAATCTTTCTAAAGCACAGATCTGATTGTGTTTTTTGCTTTCTCAAGAACTTTCAGTGGCCCTCTTTTGACTCTAGGATAAAATAATAATAATAATAACTAACAATTATATAGTACTTACCATGGTCCAGGCACTGTGTTACATGCTTTACGATTAGTATCTCATTTCTTTATCACACCATCCCTGGGATGTAGGTGGTATAATTATCCTTATTTTATAGATGAGGATACTTGGGCAAACAAAAGTTAAATGACTTGCCCAGAGTTAGTGTTAGAGGCCAGATTTGAACTCTGGTCTTCTGATTCCAGGCCCAGTGCTTTACCCACTTTGACACCTAGCTACCTTACAAGCTAAGCTTGGTATTTAAAGCAATTTACAGATTGGATACTGCTTATTTTTTTTTCCATGTTTACTGTTTATTACTACCCATCATGCATTCTACATTTAGGCCATTCCCTTTTCATCTCTACCCATTAGAATACCTAATTTCCCTGAAGCCTCAGTTCATGAGCTATTTTTTATGGCGTTGGTCT